ACTGTTCCTCCTGGACTTTCTGTAAAATTCTAGAAATGAGACAGAACGGTGGAAATATATAAGGTTGATAGCTCCTCCATGACATATGGAAAGCATTTACAGCTATAGCTCCTGGATCAGGATGGAAAGACACATATGGTTCTATTTGGTAGTTTATTCTTGAAGCAAACAGATCTATATCGGGTGTTACCCCTAATCTAGATATTGCATCATAAAATATCTGTTTATTGAGTGACCACTCAGCACTAGTGTTGGTGATTCTAGACTGATGGTCAGCTTCAACATTTTCTACCACAGGAATGTGGACAGCTGTAAGCCAAATATGTCTTGCACGACACCAGAGCCACATAGATTTGCTAAGTGCATTACGTAAATCTGACTTACTGGTACCCATGTGATTAATATCAGATAGCGCAGTCATATTATCAATCATAACTTTTACATGTTTTCCTGCTAAAGAGTTTGCAAAGGTTTTCAGTGCCAAGAAGACAGCTAACAACTCTAGGTAGTTTATATGATGTTGTGCCTCATCTTTGGTCCAGTTTCCCCCTGTCCTAGTTTCACCCAGGGTACAACCCCAACCTGTAGAAGAGGCATCTGTGGTTAATACAATAGCTGGTAGCCCATGGCTAACAACAATGTAGCTGTCTGGGGCAGAGTTGACCCACCAGGTCAACTCCTCTCTAGCCTCATCATTTAATGTCATTAGAGAGTCAAAATTGCCTTTGTTGACCTTAAGGGCTTGCGATTTCACACCTTCGAGGTGTCGAAAAAAGAGTGGCCCTAGCATGACTCCTGGAAAAGTCGAAATTATATATCCCACGACTTGGGAGACCTCTCTGATGGTCGGCGAAGTGTTCTTTAATTAATAGTTCAGAGCACATCTCAATGACCTTAGTTACTTTCTCAGGTGTCATATAGACTCTCATTAGAACTGAATCAAGTATAAATCCTAAAAATATTAGTCTCTGTGTTGGGATAAGCACAGATTTGTCAGGGTGAATAACAAACCCTAGTGTAAATAGCAGTCGGACAGTGTCTATAACATTTTCTAGACAGCTGACATAGTCATCCCCTTGTAGATATGAATCATCAATGTATGGGGACGAAGTGTGTCCCAGTTTTCTCAAAACTGCATACACTGGTTTAAGAAGTTTTGTGAATTTCCGTGGGCAACTAGCAAGCCCATTTGGGAAGCATGTAAATGCATATAGTGAACCTTCCCATGCAAATTTTAGATATTTTGGTGTGGGTTGGCAATAGGGACCGAATAATACGCGTCCTTAAGATCCACTGACGCCATAAAACAATTAGGGGTCATAAGCCTGATAGCATCAATGAGTGTTTCCATTTTAAAATGGTGGTATTCTACATGCTGGTTAAGATCTTTCAGATTTAAAATCATTCGACTTGTGCCGTCCTTTTTGGGGCGTACAAAAATTGGAGATATGAATTCTCCAGGTTCATGTTGTGCATGAACAATTACAGCTTTGTGAAGTTATTTCACAATTTCAGCCCGTACACTTGGATAGTGACCTTGGATAGTTTTGAAGCGCAATGGTGTCGAATTCTATACGTTGGCCGCTCACTATATCTAAAATCTCTCGATCGGAAGTTATTTTTTCCCACTCATGATAAAAATGAGCAAGACGACCACCACGAAAGTGGCTTATTTGCATGTTAAACTGCTCCTTCAACACCGGTAAAAAAGTTAAAAATTCGTTTACCTTAACTTTAGATAGATGTGTATAAATTATATCCTTGTCGATGGCAGTCACTTCTTGTTGAACTTGTTGCCCCCTTCCCGCTTTTTCTGATGACTGGGGAATCTGTTGTTCGACCAACGCGGGTTGGGGCCTTTGGATAAAAGACTTTTCACGATCATTTCTTGGATGCCGTTGAAAAGTCGATTTGTTGTGACTGCCAAAATGTCCAGTCGTGGACTGGGTGGCCGTTTGGCTAATTCGATTCGACGCTCGAATTGCATTTAGTTGGCTTTGTAATTCATCGCCAAACAACATCGAGGTTACCGATGTTTGGGAAGAGCACAATGAAGCATACTCTTTATTCAAGCTGGGTTTCATCGTTTCGCGACGACGGAGTGAAAGGTCATAATTGGTGTTGTTTTCGCCGCCTTCATGGCGCCGAATGCCGCCAGTTTGGCGGGCATTCATAAGCAGTTGAGCAGACTGTGTGACAGCTGTGCCAACTGTCACCAAGGTTTTTTGGATAGCGACAAGTTTAAGGTCCTGTCGTTGGCCCATGTTTGATATTCGGGACCAAATTTCGGGATTTACCTTGGGAGCAAACAATCGTTCGCAGTTCTCTGGTCGGTCATATTTCGCTATTTTCTCTTTGAATTTGTCGTCCGATAAATTTGACGACCATCTCTTATTGACGATATCAGCCAGCTGAGTCGAGACCGGACTACTTGTTTTATCGTCAGCCGAATACTCCATAGCTAACGTTGTGAGGAATGCATCTTCCTCGTCGCCATCTTTAGTTTCAGCTGATTCGGTCTCTTGCTCTGAAGGATGGTCGTCGATCAGGGCATCAACATCACTCCCTTCTTGATCATTCGACCTCCTTTTCTTGCTGCTCAGAGTCAAAGATTCTCCTGACTCCACCGCCCGAGAATCTCGTTTGGCAGTAGCGGTTGGAGTTTGTTTTATTTTGCGGATTTCTTGATACATAGTTGACATATTGTTCGCCAAAGTAGCCGTTCGAAGGACTTTTTTATGGTCGGATCATCTTCGCTAGTTGATAAATCGTCCTCCTTGAGCAGTTCGTTTTCTATCTCGTCTTTTTCCGTCATTTGTTTGTTTCTACGTGTGTTCTTCGCAACGTTTCGCTTGCAAGTGATCTAGCTTGCTTCGCGCGCATATCTCCCACGTGACTCCTTAGCGAAAATAACCAATCATGAAGTAGAATCAGTTTCCACTTCGTTGTCAGTGTTATACGAATTCTCAACATCACTCTCTGACGTAGTACTATCAGAGTCTGCAACCGTTCTCATTCTTTTCATCTTTACACTGAAATCTGCAGTATGTTTCCAACAGTACTGTATTTCCTTCGTATATTGTTAGGTTGAAACAACTCCAACCACAACCAACCGGCGAATGATCAATTTTTTAAACAACATTACATTTTATGAAATGGCCTTAAGGGACTTTTCTATGGCCTTGTGTCCCGATTGGTGATTGGCTGGGACACTTCCTACCAAGCCTCGCAACCAATACGATTCTAGAGAATCGGGCCACAAGGCCATAAAAAAGGCCGTTTAGTCTAAGACCTGTATATGAGTTTGTATCCGATTCATTTAGGACAGGTAATCTCAACAGTTTTAGGGTAAAATGACCATGGCGGTCAACATGGTATATGTGCGAAAACCTGAATCCGGGACGAAAGTCCTGAAAATGACCCCGCCCTGAAACGGCAGTGTCGACATAGCTAACTTCCGAAAAGGAAAAGCAATAGCCTTTCTGAAGTGCTTATAGTGTTCAGAAGGGTTGCTTTTAGGGGTGGTCATTAGAAGGAAAAACTTGTTTAAGTATAATATTTTACCAGATAATGACTATGCACCACCCCAGGTAAATTGCTGATTATACACAAAATAATTAATATGCCTGGCAGAAATTAAATTTTCTTATTTCCTAAAAAAAAATATCATGGGATGAAAAACTATGCTTAGTTCAATATAATTATTGTGGATTTCATAAGGATTGTCATTGTTTTCTTTTAATATAACACATTTTATTTCACTTTCCCCCACGAAAACACGATTTCAGCCATACTTTGCCGTCTTGTTTGCTTTTTATCGCCGAGTCTCGCAAATATCATCCAGTTGTTGTACTTTTACATAATCATAAAGGGCTAAAGAATATTTCAACCAAGTTTTATCAAGTTGTGAGACAGTGCAGTGTATTTTACCTTCGATATTGTGTCCTTCGATATTTATTCAAATTGCCGCCATTTTAATGACTCGCCGCTTCTCTGTCCGATAAATGCCACTTCTTCGTTTTCATATGTATTTAGATTACAGTATCCAAGAGTACTTCATTGTAGATATTTGTCCCATTATATTATTATACAATATTTGTCCCATTTGGAAGGAAAAACCCTCCCGTATACCATTTAGGTTCAAAATAAAAAACAAATCATTTGAAAGTCACGCGCAATCTTCGCGAAAACTTCTCGTGGACACATGACAGGGAGGTGAATATTTTCACGAAACGTTTGTTCGCCACCACAGAAACATAACTACATCCATTGTATTTATTGTATTTTTATGATTTATGATAAAACTACGCAAATATTTATTGTTTTTATCATAAATCATAAAAATACAATAAATACAATATATTTAGTTATGTTTCTGTGGTGGCGAACAAACGTTTCGTGAAAATATTCACCCCCCTGTCATGTGTCCTCGAGAAGTTTTCGCGAAGATTGCGCGTGACTTTCAAATGATTTGTTTTTTTATTCTGAACCTAAATGGTATACGGGAGGGTTTTTTCCTTCCAAATGGGACAAATATTGTCAATTTTTCGATTGGGACTATTCTACAATGAAGTACTCTTGGATACTGTAATCTAAATACATATGAAAACGAAGAAGTGGCATTTATCGGACAGAGAAGCGGCGAGTCATTAAAATGGTGGCAATTTGACGAAATATCGAAGGACACAATATCGAAGGTAAAATACACTGCACTGTCTTACACCTTGATAAAACTTGGTTGAAATATTCTTTAGCCCTTTATGATTATGTAAAAGTACAACAACTGGATGATATTTGCGAGACTAGTACTCGGCGATAAAAAGCAAACAAGACGGCAAAGTATGGCTGAAATCGTGTTTTCGTGGGGGGTAAGTGAAATAAAATGTGTTTTATTAAAAGAAAACCATGACAATCCTTATGAAATCCACAATAATTATATTGAACTAAGCATAGTTTTTCAACCCATGATAATTTTTTTAGTTATTTTGTGCATAATCAGCAATTTACCTGGGGTGGTGCATAGTCATTTTCTGGTAAAATATTATACTTACACAAATTTTTCCTTCCAATGACCACCCCTAAAAGCAGCCACTCTGAACACTATAAGCACTTCAGAAAGGCTGTCACTTTTCCTCTCTATGTCGACACTGCCGTTTCAGGGCGGGATCATTTTCAGGACTTTCGTCCCGGACTCAAGTTTTCGCACATATGCCATGTTGACCGCCATGGTCATTTTACCCTAAAACAGTTGAGATTACCTGTCCTAAATGAATCGCATACAAGTGCTAGACTACTTGGGGCCAATGCGAAAAGTGGCCTTTAGCCAGGCCACTGGCCTTAAAGGCCTTTTCTACGGCCTTGTGGCCCGATTGGCTGGGATACTTCCCACCAAGAGGGCTCTAGAGAATCGGGCCACAAGGCCATCAAAAAGGCCCTTGGGGCCAATGCGAAAGGTGGCCTCAAGGGCCTTTTCTACGGCCTTGTAGCCCGATTGGCTGGGATACTTCCCACCAAGAGGGCTCTAGAGAATAGGGCCACAAGGCCATAAAAAAGGACCTTGGGGCTAATGCGAAAAGTGGCCCCAAGGGCCTTTTCTACGGCCTTGTAGCCCGATTGGCTGGGATACTTCCCACCAAGAGGGCTCTAGAGAATCGGGCCACAAGGCCATAAAAAAGGACCTTGGGGCTAATGCGAAAAGTGGCCTTATAAAGGCCTTTTCTACGGCCTTGTGGCCCGATTGGCTGGGATACAGTACTTCCCACCAAGAGGGCGCTAGAGAATCGGGCTACAAGGCCATCAAAAAGGCCCTTGGGGCCAATGCGAAAAGTGGCCTCAAGGGCCTTTTCTACGGCCTTGTAGCCCGATTGGCTGGGATACTTCCCACCAAGAGGGCTCTAGAGAATAGGGCCACAAGGCCATAAAAAATGACCTTGGGGCTAATGCGAAAAGTGGCCCCAAGGGCCTTTTCTACGGCCTTGTAGCCCGATTGGCTGGGATACTTCCCACCAAGAGGGCTCTAGAGAATAGGGCCACAAGGCCATAAAAAAGGCCCTTGGGGCCAATGCGAAAAGTGGCCTTAAAGGCCTTTTCTATGGCCTTGTGGCCCGATTGGCTGGGATACAGTACTTCCCACCAATAGGGCTCTAGAGAATCGGGCCACAAGGCCATCAAAAAGGCCCTTGGGGCCAATGCGAAAAGTGGCCCCAAGGGCCTTTTCTACGGCCTTGTAGCCCGATTGGCTGGGATACTTCCCACCAAGAGGGTTCTAGAGAATCGGGCCACAAGGCCATAAAAAAGGCCCTTGGGGCCAGTGCGAAAAGTGGCCCATCCCAACCAATCATCAATCGGGCCACAAGGCCGTAGAAAAGGCCCTTGGGCCACTTTTCGCATTGGTCCCAAGGGCCTTTTTTATGGCCTTGTGGCCCGATTCTCTAGAGCCCTCTTGGTGGGAAGTATCCCAGCCAATCGGGCCACAAGGCCATAGAAAAGGCCTTTAAGGCCACTTTTCGCATTGGCCGCAAGGGCCTTTTTATGGCCTTGTGGCCCGATTCTCCAGAATCCTATTGGTGGGGAGGCAACTGACAACGAAGTGGAAACTGATTCTGCGTCAGAAAGTGATTCTGATAATGTAGATGATACTAGTAGTGAAGTAGGTGATAAATACGAAAGCGATCCATGGGCTCCTTCAAAAGCTGAAGCAGCCCAACAAAGTTTATCGGAATTCGAAGAACTAACGCAGAATTTCACTGCAGAAGGCATACTTACTTATCCTACCAAAACTTCGTAAAGATTTGCAGAATATTTATTTGGAACGTCCACTATGGATAAGACAACTAAACAGAGATCCAATACAAAAAAAAGATTATGGAAACCAGGGATGTCTTTGTCAACGATGATAATTTCGACCACAGGGAAGCGTTAGAGGCCACTATTGACAAGAGAAAATTTCTTTTGAAAAGACTTTTCAGAAACACACGGTATCCTAGTGACATTGACTCTTAATGGTTGTTTGTGTTTGATTTATAAAAATAAAATACGATCCTGTGTGGTAGCTATTTCCCCCTAACCCATTTCTCTAACCCTCTCCCAAGTCCCGGCAAACCTTCAAAAAGGCCTTTGGGGCCACAACTATTTAATGTTAGGAATCAGTTGACATTTATCATTTGACATTATGCCTCGGAAGTGTAAAGATTGTCCCATCTGCGGCAAGCGAGCTCTAAAAAGATTGGCAAACCATTTGGCAGACGTCCATGAACTTTCGTCCCAAGAAAGACAACCTTATCTTATTCGTGCTAAGCCAACAGCTTTAGACTTAGAAAATGTTTTAACAGAGTTGTACAGATTAATTGGGAACAGTAAAAAGCAGTCAAAGTGGAATAAAAGCGGGATAAGGAATATACCCATCCGTCAACCAAAATCCTCCAAGAAGAGAACAAAATCAAATACAAAATCTGCAAAGAACGTGGATAATACAGAAATGAATGATGGCTCAAAGGAGTGGTTAAAGTTAGAAACCAAAACGGGACAAAACTCTTAAGGTGGCTCCATACACTTTTCATCATCGGGGGACTGGTACCTAATCTTGAGTTTTCGCGCGAAAATATTAAAAATATATGCAAAATAAAAACAACTTTTTCAGTCAAAAATCCGAACCACAAGTCATGTATATTTTGATGTTTTGAATCTTCCTTGTTCTCATTTGTTTTCAAAGAACAAACTTCGTCATGATTTAGCTCTGAACATCGAATAACTAGTCTTTTTAGAAGCCACTTTAAGGTAAAAAAAATTTTACTGCAATATTTGGCGATTTATAAGTTCATATCCAGAGTTTTTTGTACTTACAACTGGTAAATGTATTCAAAGTGTTACTAACAGCAAAGAAATTCAGTGAAACAGCATCATGCGCCGGTTAAATGTTTTAAATTGTCAACAACAACATGAAAACACACAAGTTACGACTGAAAACGAATATAAAACTATGTAGAGAAGCCAAAAACTTCATACATGTCACACATATCTTATACCAAACGACACAATCACCTGTTTTCTTGGCGTTATCCCGAGTTAGCATGCAAAACTAAATATATTTGGATTTCTAAGCAAGAAAACACAAAATATATTTGATATTTCGACGAGACTAAAAACTTTTTTGTGCGTGTTTTTCTGGAGATGCGCCTGCGAAAACATGTACGCGCATGTCAATTCATTGATCTTGCAGAGCTCGAAAAACTTTCGGCCGAGCGAGTGAGATACCACAATAAAACGGCGTAATTCAAAATTTTGCACGGTGACATGTGATGAAATTTTGCACAACGATAACTTCTTTTAAAACAAATAGAATATCAAAATTTTAAAAAAATCTGTAGATTGAAAAACTCTAAATCCGCAATTTTTTATTCTGGCTATTCTAATCTACAGAATTATTTTATTTTCAGTGATAAGATTCCGCATTAAAAGTGAAAGCTATACAGCAGTTAAAAGTGGGGTGTCACTGGCAATATTCGGAAAATAAATAATAAAAACCTGCTTAAAATAGCAAAAAATACCATATTT